TTTTTATATTAGCCACCTGTATCTGACATCAAGGCACAAAAATGTGCAACAAACACAACATTACACACGTCCCCAGCTAAGCCATGTAATTGTATTTTTATTTGTAATGAAATATTGTCAAACAGTAGCGGAACAGTAGTGGGACAAGGGAGGACATGGTCCTTCTTTTAATAATTCCATCATGTAGAATGACCAAATTTATCATTTTTTAACGGGGTCATAGATTGCAAAACCGAGTTTAGATTGTCATAGATGAATAATGATAGTTCAGTGGGTGAAATGGATGTACAGAGAAGTCCAAACCCATCAACACCTCCTTTCTCTGCAAAACTCACAATTCTAAACTTCCTCCATAAAACGAGGGAATCCAAACGAAGCACCGAATTGACGTCAATTCGGGGATGTTGATTATTATTCTGGCCTGTACTTTTGTCACGCCGTGAAATTGAAATACAGACCAGCCCCCTGGTTCACTGGCCCAAGAACATGAATAGAGCTAGATGTAAGACACAAGTTCAGCTGTTTAGCCTACAGTTGGGTTTACTTCTATAAGAATTACAAAGCAGCCGCTGACTGGCTGTATTCGAACCGAGCTGTCAGCTCCGGGGCTGGTCTGGGAACCCTGATGGACAGGGGGAAGGGAACCAGGCGGACATTTTTTTTGGGTATGAAAAGTAGGACATGTCCGGGAAAAAGAGGACGTCTGGTCACCCTGTCATATCAACAATATTAATGTTTCAGTGAGTGAGTGCTTGTTGCTATGATTCGTCTTTGCTCAGCAGCTTTGCTCGTTGTAAACCAACCAATCAGCACACAGCTCATCTAAATATTCATCAGCATACCATAAAAGGAAGAAAACCTGTCGTTTCATTCTGCGGCTTTTAACCAGGCTGCATTAAGGCTCATAGAACAACAAATAGGCCATTTTCAGCCCAACCAATGTTACACACCCTGTTCAGAGACCTTAAGGACCAGCACCAAATACCCTATAGTAATACCCCAAATATCCCATTCTACGACCCCTTTAAAGTTAGCATATGAACCAAAAATTATTAAACACAACAATTTTCTTTTACCATGATATAATCAAAGAGGACTATATATGTATCCATTTTCATACATGCTCATCCCTAGGGAGGTAGCGTATCTCCAGTTGTCTCATGGCCAAAGGCAGGGTACACCCTGGACAGGTCGCCAGTCTATCAGAGGCCAACACAGAGACAAACAGGACAAACAACCATTCATGCACACACTCACACCTAAGGAGAATTTAGAGAAGCCAATGTATCTAAAGGTCACATTTTTTTTGAATGTGGAGAGTCAGAGTAAGAAGCCTGAGTACCTGGAGAGAACCCATGCATGCTCAAGAAGAACATGCAAACTCCATGCAGAAAGCTTCTTGTTGCAAGGTGGCAGTGCTATCCACTGCACCACTGAGCAGCCCAGGGGTTTTGCTCAGGGTTTTTCTATGTAATTAAAAATAAAGATCAACTGTTCAACCAATTTAATGTATTATGTAGAACCATAAATGAATTTAAACAGAGCAGATTTATTAGTAGCCTTATTATTAAGGGCCTTATAAAAATCTGCTCCATCTTCAGTGATTTATTTGGAAAATATAGATGTAGGTTTATTGTGATAAATATAGGTTGACTCTGAACTGGAGTTGGTGCCCATTACTGTTGGGCAATGCCTCAGTTCACATTGTTCCCTGCCTGACACCCCTGTGAAAATGTCCTGTATCGCCACTGTTGTCAAATTGACCAAGTTCTTGTTTCATTTCTAATATTTCAGGTTAATTAAAATTAACTGGAGGCAATAAAGCTGTTGGTGCAGCTGGCATCGAAGTGAGGACATCGGTGTTGAGGTATAAACGGATGTTAAAAAAAGTCTATTTTTTTCAGGCCGAAAGCATCAAAAGACTAAAGTCTACCTCTTGTTATTTTCTGAAACTCAGCTCTGAATGAGGCAGTGGCAACCCTGGCTTAACGGACCAGTTTAACTCGTCTAATTCCCTATAAAGTTGACTGACAGGACAGTTAGCAACAATACAGGAAGTCTGTGGGGATTCCCCCGTTTTTTCTTTTCTTTTTACAATACAAAACAAGGAAAAATATTTGGACACAAATTTAAACACACAATTTCCTACATAACGATATTATGTAATAAAAAGTGAAGGTAAAAAACCTACTGACTGGATTGAAGTTTTGACAGCTGGAAACCTAAAGTATTATTAAAATATCATAACTAGATAGATAGATAGATAGA